AGGAACAGTACTTGACCCCGTTCGTACCCCGCCCCCTGCCCAGTTTGTTTGCTACCAGTGTGGACATCCTGCCAGCTCTGCTAAACTACTAAAGATTCACATCAGTAAGACCCACAAGATGGGCGACTCCCCCTCAGAGCTTGCAACTGGTTCGTGCTGCAATATTTGTTTGACGGAGTTTTACCTGACCCCACGTCTTGTTAAACACTTGCGAAGTTCGCCTTCTTGTTTGCGCTCATGACAGAGAACAAGTTTCAGACCCAGCCTTAGTGACGTAGAGGAGGCGAAGAACGAATACCGTCGTATTTCTGCGAGCAAGTAAGGGGCTACATGAAGCTTGTGCTAACGATCCCCCTCGGGTCCTACACGGACCCCCCATTGGACCCAAAGTGCCCTTCTCCAGGCGGCAGGCCAAGGCAGAAGACGTTATTCATGCACCACTACCCCCGCCTTCGGCTCCATCTGCCCCCCTTGTTTGGGTACATCGAAGACTGAGGACTCATACCCACATGTTTGTGTTGCATTTGTTTTCTGGATTTCGGAGGGAGGGGGACATGCGGTGGCACATGTAGCGACTTTTTGAAGGCACACCCATGGCGGTGCACGCCATAAGCATTGACATTGCACATGACCCCAGGTGGGGGGATCTGACGGACCCTGAAACAGTCGAGCTTTGGAAAGATTTGTTACGCTCTGGCCGTGTTGCTGCAGTCATTGCGGGCCCCCCATGTGAGTCGTGGTCTGCAGCACGTCATATTCAAGCCCCCCCAGTGCCGACGCCCCTCCCCGCCCGCTGAGATCAGTTGACCAATTGTGGGGACTAGGGCATGTCACGAGCAGGGAAAGGAAGCAGCTAGACCTAGGCAACCAGCTCTTGCGCACTACCATCAACTTTCTACACTTGAATTGGCTTTATGGAGTCCCAACTGTGATGGAGCATCCTGCTCCGTGCACTTGGCGTGATGGGGTCCCAAGTTCCTGGCATTTGCCCCCCCTGAAGAGACTGGCGGCGATGACCGATGTTCGCTGTCATGAAATCCACCAGTGTGAGTTCGGGGGGAAATCCAAAAAGCCCACTAATCTAATGGCTGTGCACATTCCGACGATGCAAACGTGGCTTGATGGCCTTACTGGGGGAGGCAAGTGCCAGCGGGGCCATACACATAGGAGCCTTCAGGGGCTTGGTTGTGACGATGTTTGGATTTCTGCCCACGCCAAGACGTACCCCTCCCCCATGTGTGCGTTCATTGCTGCCACGGTGCTGGAAGCTGTTCGACTAAGATTCCCACACCTTTGTTAGGCGCCGACTCCCACCAATCTCCAACCCACGGGGCACGTGCATGACTGGTCCTTGCAACAATACATGTGTTTACGAGACAAACTGGGTATCGGCGCCTGTGACGATGGTTGGGAAATACCACCAGGGTTGCGACCATACTACACCCCACTTGACACGTACACGGTCCGAGGGATACATATGGACTGTATGATACACCGACCAATTGCACACGGGGTGCTCGAGGACCCACTTTTGCAGTCTGCGGCCTCCTCTTCCCCCCCCCCATTTGGACCCCCCTCACGCACACAACAGATTTGAGTTTCGGAGGCCAGGCGAAGGGCCTGGCACAGAAGGATAGCCGAGCCCATCCAGGCGCCGCATGTGTTACGCTCATGTTTAAAAAGCAGTATGTGCCATGTGCAGAATACCTTGATATTTTGCTCGACGATGTCAGTAGTATGACCTCCGTGGGTGAAGGACGTTACCCAAATTTTCTCCCCTCTCCTCCTCCAAACCTAGTGTACGCCCACTTTAAAGGCAGTAGCCCTTGCTCTATGTCTGCTTAGGGATCAGGATGTGGTACGAATGTTATGGGATTTTTATTCAACCATACCCTGAGCAGACGTCTGTTTCCGTGGCGGCAACCCTTGTTGCGCTACGCCACCTGCGCCGACTGGTGCAGGCAGGAGCTTGCGTGTGCTTGCCGCTAGCTGCTGCCGCCGCTGCCCCTCCTGTTCTCTTACCATCCTCTGTGGCTAGGCTTCGACGCTCCGCCTTCGACCGAACCGAACCGAACCGAGGAGGAGGAGGAGGAGGAGGATGAGGAGGAGGAGGAGGAGGAGGAGGATGGATGCCTTTGACTCTCCCCCGCTGGGCCTGCCCCAGAACACGAGTCTGGCTGCTTGCTAGAGTCCTGGGGTCTGGGCCGGTGGGTGAGGGCTGGACCGTTGGTGGTGCCAGAAAACCTCACCCCTGGGCCTGCTTGTGATCGTCCGGGTGGAGCCCTCACTGCCGGCCGGCACATCGTGCTGCCGCAGACTTTCTCCCGGGCACGTCTTGCACCACCCCGTGCGAACGTCGCGGGGGCCCGCCTCTCCGTGCTGCCGGGACTGGGCTCCCGGGCCTGGTCTCGAGCGTCTGGAGCCATACCTCCACCGATGGGTGCTCTTCACGTCAGCAGGACTCCAGCTCCAGCTCCAGCTCCAGCTCGGCTCCTTCCTATCCAGATCCAGCGCCAGCTTCGCTCCTGCCCCATCCCCACCTGAGCTCCAGCCCCAGCCCCAGCCCCAGCACCAGCAACAGCCACATGTTCGCTCCAGCTTCACCTTTTGCCCGCTCTTTCTGCCCAGCTGGGGCTATGGCTCCAGCTTGAGCTTCGGTTCAGGCACAAATCCAGCTCCAACTGAGCTCCAGAGCCATTCCCAGTCCCAGCTCCAGCTCCAGCCTTGCGTCCCACCGAATATCATCCAGCCTGGTTTCTCCCTCTTGTCCAGATTTGCGTGTGGTAGACAGTTTGGCCAAGAATTCGTAGCTGAGGTTGTAATTCAAATGGAGCTTCCCAGAAGCATGGCACACATTGCACATTCCAGATGGAGTTTTGAATCTGGCTACCACAAAGTGCGCATCCCAATTAACATGCTCCAGGTAAAATCATCGTGTAGGAAGTAAAGCGGAACGCATTGCGTATAACACAACGCGTCATTACTTGCAGGTAATTTCCTTCGGCGCTTCCACATGTTGGCCCACCGACTCGCAATCGCAAGTTCCCCAATAATCATATAGGACTCTCATAGAAGCTTTTCGTTTTGCCGCCGCTAGCCTCAGGAGTCTTCCGAGGACCTCCTTTTGGGTGGGTTATCCGTATCAAACCTTTCTTGCTTGAAGATCCCATGGGGCCAGAAAAATAGTCCTCGGACGACAGCCTGACGCCAGCGGAAATTGCAAAAATGGTCGTCGTGCCGAACGTTGGCAAATTCGGGGATTCGCTGACCTGGGCCAGCCACATGTGTGCGACTGGCCCAGGTAAGCGCGTCCCCGACTTTGGGCGGAGGATGATGGGGGCCGAGCGATCTGCCAGTGGTACATACGATTGACATAAAGCTTGTGATGAGGCCAACTGTCAGAGCCCGGGCCGCGATGCGCGAGGCGCGGCTGCCTTCGCGCTTTTTGCGGGTGACCCCCAGGGCATCATACGGACCTCTGGAGATTCTTCTACGTCTGGGAACTTTTGCAGAATCCATCGGCCATAGTAACGCGATCTGCAATCGGCCCAGCTGCCTTTTACTGTAAGCTTGCAGATTCGCCCAGGAACCTCTCATTAGAGAAGCGCAGGCTTCCAAGGTGTCGTCCAAGGGAGAGATAGATAGAGAGAGAGAGAGAGAAAAAAAAATAGAGTGAGAGAGAGAGAGAGAACACACAGAGAGAGGCAGACAAATAGACGCTGGGGGGCCAGGAAGTGGATAGCGTGTCGCGCCGAAGCGCGGTGGGCCAGAATCGGCAAAGCGACACGCTAAGCCAGCTTTCCTGACCGAAGACCCTGGCGAGTTTGCTTGCATGGAGAGGGGGACTCCCTGGCGAGCCCCTGAGGGAAAGCTGAAGATCTCGCAAACCGAGAGCTACTTGCACGCTCTTCCAGCGCAGCACCGAGCGAAAAAGCGGCGAGGGGAGGAAGCAACATGCCATGCAAACAAACAGATCGGAAACTTAACCCAAACGTCCTCCGATGTGTGTTTTGTTCAATGAGCCGGGCCCCAGAGGTTCCGAGCGCTTCCCAAGGGGCAAATTTTCACCCTGGATCCGTTTCTGATGGGATGGCCATGGGGCCCGTCAATGGGCCGCAGAGGCAACGTGAAGAGGAAGAGGGTGAGGATGAGGGTGAGAAGGAGGAGGAGGAGGAGGAGGAGGAGGAGGAGCAGGAGGAGGAGGAGGAAGAAGGTGAGGGGCAGGAGGAAGAGCAAGAGGAACAGGAGCTCGTTTCGGGGCCCCGGAACCGTGCGGTGATGGGCCGCGTGGTGACCTCGAAATCCCAAGAGACCTCACCGCGCGGTCCGTCACCGCACGGTCTTGGGACCTCGGAGGCCTCAGGCGCACGAGACGTCGGAGAACGACCCGAGTCCCAAAACCGTGTGGTGACCCCGAATCCCTACTGACCTGCCGCGCGGTGTGGTCATCACGCCGCTTGGTCGGCGGCGAACCCAGGGGGGGGAGTGAGATGCGGCGTGCCTTCTCACAAGGCTCGGCTCTCCCCCGGCCGTCTGAGAAGTTTTCTCAGCCTTCCCCGGAGACGCAGAAGACCTCCCAGAAGGCCAGCTGCCTTCTGAGAAGTTCCGCCGCCTTCTGAGAAGGCATTCTCCTTCTTTCTTCCCTCCCTCGCTCGCCGTCGACTTTGGATTTTGGGTCATATCTCGGATCTCCAGCGGCCGTTCGGGACGATCCAGGCACCCCGGGAACGCCCTCGGCGAGGCGCAGCTGCTGGCAAGCCTCCCGAGGCCGAAAAACAGCCGAGAACCGACGACGACGGTCGGAAAACCTCGAGCCTCGGGGAGGGGGAGGAGGGGGAGGGGGAGGAGGGGGAGGAGGAGGAGGAGGAGGAGGAGGAGGAGGAGGAGGAGGAGGAGGAGGGAGGAGGAGGAGGAGGAGGAGAGGAGGAGGAGGAGGAGGGGGAGGGGGCGGAGGGGGCCCCGCGGAGAGAAGCGCGTCACGACGCCAGAGGTCCGAGGACGAGGAGGCACAGCGCGGCCCACGGCCCAGCCAGCCCGGGCACGAGGAGGCACAGCGCGGCCCACGGCCAGCGCACGGGCGCGGGCGCCATGCGGCGGGGCTCGCCCGGCCGCCACCGCCGCCCGCCGCCGAGGCCGCCCGCGCCCAGGCCGCGCCAGGCGCAGAGGAGCGAAAAGAAACTCGACGAGCGAGGGCGTCGTCGTCCTCCTCTTCCTTTCCCTCTCCTCTCCTCCCTCCCCGTCGCCGTCCTCCCCTTCTCTGCTTCGTCGTTGTCCTCTTCCATCTCCTCCTCTCTTCCTTCTCCTCCTCTTCCTTCTCCTCCTTCCTCTTCCTCGTCTCTTCCATCGCCGTCGTCGCCCTCACTCTCCAGTTCTTGAGCTATGCACACCTGTCTGGAGCAGGATTGCATGCGAATCTGCACTTCACTTGCTGCCAACTCATGTTTTTTCGATTGCTGATCCATATACGAGCACTCCATGTTCGTGCGAGTGGCTACTTCGCCGCCACTCGAAGCTCCTCAGAGGTACGGTGCCCAGCCGAGGCCTCCAGGCGTTCTCCGCGTACTCGCGAGTGGCTATTTCGTCGTCGCTCGAAGCTCTTCAGAGGTATGGTGCCCAGCCCAGGCCTCCGGGCGTTCTCCCTTGCAGAGGCGTTTGGAAGGAGATCGGTTGGTCTCAGCTGTTCGGTGCTGTCTTCTGTGTTTGAGGGGCGGCCTCCCTGGGTGTGCGCATCCGTACACGTGTATGCGGATGCAGGCGGAGGGCACCCTGTGAATCGGATCTTTTCGAAGCTGCTCGAAGATTGTCATGTATGTTCTAAGGTTCCTAGAACTCTATGGAGTCGTCGGATTAGGCCAGAGGCATGTCCCTGCGGGGCCATCCTGAAAGTCTCCTCGTCCCGCGGCTAACACAGATCCTGAGTGTACGGCTGCTGGCAGGCCGCTCTTCTTCGCTGAGGAGAACAATTGTCGTGCTGGGAGGAAGGGGTTGGGAGGATGAAGGGCATGAGCAATAGCATCTGGATGCAATGAACGATGCCTTCGGCCGCCCACGGGAAAGGACATCCTCATTTCTCTCAGCCCCATCCTCCCAACCCGATAACTTGTCTTCCTGACTTCTTGTTCTGTCAGAGTGGGACTCTCGCCATCGCGCCGCGCGCCGTCGTCTTCAAAGTTTGGAGCAGTTTCGCACGAGGGGGAGGGCCGTGTTCAAAATGGGGAACTCGCCGCAGCACCGCGCGCATTCTGTGTGAAAAGCTTGGACCGGTTTCACGCATTCAAGGGGTGCGGTTTTCAAACTGCGCCCTCGCCTTCGCGCTGCGTGCGCTCGTTATAAAAAAGTTTGCAGCAGCTTCGCGGATGGAGGGGGTCATGTTTTCAAAAAGTGGCCCTCACACTAGCGCCGTGCACATTCGTCCTCAACTGTTGCAGAAGATTTGAAGACAGCTTCTTTTCAAATGTGGCTCTCGCAGTGTCGCCGCGTACATTCAACTTACACGTTAACAACAGTTTCAAAGATAGCAGGTATTCGCTTTCAACATGTGGCTCTCGCGTTAGCGCCGAGCGCATTCGTTTCAAAAGTTTGCAACAGTTCCACGGATGGAGCGCAAGTCGTTTTCATAACCAGGCTCTCGCCCAAGCGCCGCGCGCATCCTAAATCAAATGTTGCATCAACGTCACGGGTGGAAGGGCGGGTGGTCTTCAACATGTGGCTCTCGCCTTACCGCTGCAGGCTGCGCGCATTCGTCGTAAACGTTTGCAATGTTCTCACGGATGGAAGGGGACCGCTCTCAAAACGGTACTCTCGCAGCTTGCGCCCTGCGCGATGATTTTGAAAGTTCGCAGTGGATCCACGGATGGTGGGCTCTTCCTTTTCGAAATGGGGCTCTCGTGGTTGAATGCAGCGTCTAACAGGATGGAGGGTTGCTCTTGTTCAAAATGGACTCACCGCCTGAGACTGACTTGCGTTTGAGGACCCGGGACTTCGCCGTAGGCAGCGCTTCGCGGATCCATGGCGGCTCGTTTTCAAAATGGAGCTGTCGCTTGAAACCTCCTCGAAGCCATGGCCACAACTCGCCGTCGCTCGGACGTCCATCCCCCGTGCCTTGTTCGATTTCGTGCGCGTGTTGTTTTGGCTCGATGATCCAGGATGCTCCTCGATGGCCCTCGCCGATGAACAGATGCACACGCCCGAGCGATGCCAGGACGAGGGTAAACTGGGGGCAACAACTGCCTGGGCGGGGCGGTGCTTCTTCGAGGGGAGGATCCCGCTGGACCCGCCACTTCCTTGGGGGTAGTTTTCGTCCTGGGTCCCTCCTCCCTCCTCCCTCCTCTCCTCCTCCTCCTCCTCCTCCTCCTCCTCCTCCCTCCTCCTCCTCCTCCTCCTCCTCCTCCTCCTCCTCCTCCTCTTCCTCCTCTTCCTCCTCCTCCTCCTCCTCCTCGTCCTCCTCGTCCTCCTCCTCCTGGGTCCGTTGCCGACGGTCCCGGGTCCCGACGACGTGCCCCAAAGGCCGAAATCGAGGAAGCACGGCGGGATTGAAAGGCACAGCTCGTCGGAGACCTGGGAGGATGTCTTGGGGATCTGGCCGGAGCAGGATTGAGCAGGAGGAGGTGGAGGGTGGAAAGGCGCTGCGGCCAACAGGCCAGAGTCAGGACAACGTGAAGGTGAAGAGGAAGAGGGTGATGTGGATGAGGAGGAGGAGGAGAAGTAGTAGTAGTAGTAGGAGGAGGAGGAGGAGGAGGAGGACGAAGAACAAAAGCTCGTTTCGGGCCCCCAAAACCGTGTAGTGAAGGACCGCGTGGTGACCTCGAAATCCCAAGACACCTCACCGCGCGGTCCGTCACCTGACGGTCTTGGGACCTCGGAAGCCTCATGGGCCCGAGACGTCCTCGGAGAATTACCCGAGTCCCAAAACCGTGTGCCGACCCCGCGAACAAAAAGCGTCACAACGCTGGAGCTCCGACGATGAGAAGGGCACAGCGCAGCCCACGGCCCGAATCCTCACGGACCGATGCCTCAAATCCCGACTCCCGGATCCCCAATTACCGCCGAAGCCGAACGGAACCCCCAAAGGGCCGCCGGAGGGCCCTTCGAAGGGCGGGTCGCGGCGGCCGCGCGGCGGCCGCACGAGGGCGTCCCAAAAGGCCGCCGAAGGGCCCTTCGAAGGGCGGGCCGCGGCGGCCGCGCGGCGGCCGCACGCGGGCGTCCCAGGCCTCCGGCCGCCGCGCACCGCGCAGGGCCACCACGGGGGCCTGCGCCCCGCTGCGCTCTCGCCGAGGGGGGCCTCCGCGCCTCTTCCTCCTCCAGGGCCTCCTCCATCGCCAGGGGGGCCTCCGCCTCTCCTCCATACTCCCCCCCTCCCCTCCTCCTCCTCCTCCTCCTCCTCCTCCTCCTCCTCCTCCTCCTCCTCCCTCCTCCTCCAACTCAATCGCCTCCTCTTCCTCCTTCTCCTCCTCTTCATCCTCCTCCTCTTCCTCCTCCTCCTCCTCCTCTTCCTCCTCTTCCTCCTCTTCCTCCTCCTGCTCTATCCCCAGCTCCACCCTTTCCTCCTCCTCCTCAATCTCCTCGTCTTCCTCCTCCTCGTCCTCTTCCTCCTCCTCCTCCTCCTCCTCCTTCTCCTCTTCTTCTTCTTCTTCCTCCTCCTCCTCCTCTCCTTCTCCTCCCTCGTCTCAACCACCTGCTGATACTGCTGCTGCTCCTCCTCCTCCACCTGTTCCATATCCTCCTCCATCATCTCCTTCATCTCCTCCTATTCCTCCGACTCTTGCATCATCTTATCATTATATTTTTCCTTATTGTCCTCCTTATCCTCCTCCTCCTCCTCTTCCTCCTCCATGTTCTCCTCTTCCTCCTCCTCCTCCTCCGCCTCCTCCTCAATATCCTCTTGCTCTTTCCCCTCCTCCATCTCCTGCCGCCTCCTCCTCCTCCTCCCGCTCTTCCTCCTCCTCCTTCTCCTCCTCCTCCTCCTCCTGTCTCCCCCATGCTCTCCCCATTCTCCTCTTCCATTTCGTTCTCCTCCTGATCCTCCTCTTCCTCCTCCTCCTCCTCCTCCTCCTCCTCCTCTTCCTCCCCCTCCTCCTCCTCCTTTTGCTCCTCCTTTTCCTACTGCATCTCCTCATCCTGCGTTTATTCAACATATTTTCCACGTCAGACTAGAAGTAATGCTTGATCACCTTCGGCCACAAGGGGGGCCCTCGCCGGCCCTTGGGGCCGTCATCAAACAATGACCCAGGATGGAAAACTGGTCCCGGGGAACGGGGTCCAGACCTATACGGGGCCACGTTGTGACAAAAGCAATGCGTCGAAAGTCTGGGGCATGGAGGAATGTCAATAGAAGGCCAACGACAACACCAATCGCACTACATAATCAAGCACGCTCGCTTACAAACCATGCGCACTAGCATCTGCCATCGTCTCAACCAGCCGTTGTGGGCAGGCCTTCCTCCTTTTCATGGAGCAAGGTACAGGCTTGCAGCAAACTCACAAGCACGGCCGTCCAAAGAAGGCTCGGCAAAGACACGCTCGCACACAATTTTGGATGCAACCAGGGTGAGGAAACAACTGTGGTGACGCAGACGGAGGAGGGGAAAAGGAGGAGGAGGAGGAGGAGGAGCAGGAGGAGGATGGGGAGGAGGAGGAGGAGGAGGAAGAGGAGGAGGAGCAGGAGGAGGAGGAGGAGGAGAGTAGGAAAGGAAGGACGAGGAATCTGAGGAAGTGGAGGAGCAAAAGGAGCAGGAGGAGGAATAACATGATGATATGGACAAGGATGAGGAGAAGGGGGAGGAGGAGGAGGACGAGGAGGACGAGGGGAGGAGCTGGCGGATGAGTAAGAGGATGAGGAGGACCTGGGTATGCAGTAGGATGAGGAGGAGAAGGGGGAGACAACACACAAGTGACAGACCTTCCCACGTAGTGTCTCGAACGCGCCGCGCGACCCTGAACTAGTCTGCGAAGTCGAAGGCCCCGAAGACGAAACACAAAAGGCCCTCGACAACCAAGGAGGCGAAATCCTGAGCGTTACCTGAAGGATGCACTCTCTGAAGCCAGTACGCTGCAACGAATTGAACTCGATGCGGCCCGCTAGGGCGTATATTGCACTGGTCATCGGGCACCCCCTGTTCCGTACATCATATAGGCCCAAAGTGGGATCGTTCGATCCGAAAACAACCTTTTTGCTGCGGGATCCACCCCGCTAACTCAGAACGACATTGGGAATAAAGGCGCCCAAGGCAACTGGAGATACCATTCTGCACCGATAAACGAAAACAAGCACCCGCCATTCAGAAACTTGACACCAGGACGCTGTGACATCCCCAGCGGAGTCCCAAGGCCTAACACCGTCTCCAACTGAGTTGAACTGAACAGTATGCAACGGCAGCGTGCGTTACTGCAGCAAACCAGCCTCAAGTGTGTACACACCAGAAAATGAAATGTAATGGCAGGGGTCAAGGCGTCTCCCAGGAGCAAAGCAGCATCCCCGGGCGGCTGTAGGAGATAACTGCAAGGTCGCTGACGACGCCGACACCGCACAGACAATTTGAAACTCCGACCAGCAAGAACGTGAGGTCCCGATTCGTGAGACATCGCTGCGGCGAGTGAATCCAGATGCGGCCTCAAAGGCTTAGCAACGTGGCGAACCTGTTTATCGCTGACTTCATCATGCTCCTCGTATGGATGACGTTACTGCTTTGCCCTGTGGTCCGCGGAAGATGATCCATAGCGGAGGCGCGCGCCGCGACCGTCTGCGCGAGCTCGGTGAACATCCAGCACAGTAGTCGCCAACTCGATGCAAGCACGAGTTGGCGCTGAGCGTTGGTGCTCTATCCTGGCCGACACGAGGCAGTTCGATAATGTCGGACTGATGTTTCAAGTGACGTTCAGCCGCTGCATGTGCAGAGATGACCTGAATCATGACTGGATCCGAATCCGTCATGCCGTATCTCCGAACACACACACACACACTCTGCGCCTAAACCAACTGATCGATCTCCTTCTCGTGCCTCCAAAGAAGGCTGTAAGGCTGTCTCCACTGACCCGCGGCGTAGGTGACCTGGGGCACTCGCGAGAGACCGAGAAAAGTTCGGCCGGGTGAACCGCGCCGCCTGCTGACGAGTCGGCGCGCTCCGCCGCTGTGATTGGTTGGCATTCGTAGACAGTGGGGCCTCTCGACGCGCGGGGCCCGGATGCCTTTAGCCGATGCGCGCGTCCAGCAGAACTCAGAAGATGCGAAAATCGACGGGCGCGCCGCGATGAGGCGATGGGGCGGTGCCCATGACGCGTTCGAGCCTACAGAATATCTACGCGCCTTGGGCCCCGCGCGCATGGGGCGGGGGGCGCGGAAGCTGCGCGAGAGAAGGCGCGGCGGCGATGAGACGTGCATTGCGGAGCTTTCATTCCTGCAGCGAGTGGAGATGCGTCGACGCTCGGGCTAAACGCCAGCCCGCTCCCCCATTTGAGTCGGGGATGCGCGGGCGGTCGAGCGGCCGCGGCGGAGGAAAGAAACCCGAGGAAGAGGGGGGCCACGACTATCCAACCGCGAGCGCATTCAAAACTCTGCAGGGGGACGCCGCTGCTGTCGCACCTGGCGGGCGCGCGCGTGGAGGCGCGGGCTCGCCCGCCGCGGCGACGAGCTCGCTCGTGCTCTCAAGTGCGGCGCTGGAGGAGCTCGCGCGCGTTAGTGATGACGGCGCGAGTTGCCCGCGTGCCGCATGATGCGATGTTTGTGACCACGGGCCGCAGACGTGGCGTTTGAGGGCCCGCCCTAAGACATAGGTGAGATGATGGCCCCAGGGTCGCGCGAGTGGCGAGGTGGGGGGCGCAGTGCCTTGACCTGGTGGGCGGGGGGGTCGGTGGCGGATAGAGATAGACCCGGTGGGATGCGCGAACTATTTTTGGCATTGTTGCCTCCAGGCTTCACCGGAGTCGCGATGCACGGGGGCCGCTCCGATCGCGACAGCGGTCGGCGACCTCCTCGCTGTGCGCGCCGGGCTCGACGCTGCCCCTGGGCGAGGGCGGCTGCCGCGGCTCGTCGGCGCTAGCCGCGCGGAGAGCAGCGCCGGCGCTTGTCACCCCGCGGGGCTTCTTCTTCTTCTTCTTGGGGAGGTCAGCGGCGTCGCCCGGCGCGGGCTCGCTCTTGTCCTTGTTCCTGCCTATGCCCTTGCCAGCTATCACCGCGGTGTGCCCTCGGGTGCCGATGGGCGCCGTGGCCCCTGTCCATGTCCAGAATTGGCGCGGAGTCGACGGGCGAGGCGACGTCGGTCGCCCACCCGAGCCTTGAGCCGCGCTGGCCTCGTCGTATTCAGCCTCGCGAGAAGGTGGCTGGGACTGCTCCTCAGCGAGGGGTGGCGACGAAGTGACGCGCGCGGGGCAAGCTCTCCCAGAAGTGAGCGGGGGCGCGCTGCGCGCGGAGACGGAGCCGCCGGCCGCCTACGGCCGGGCGGGTCTTTCTCCGACGAGGGTGCGCCGAGCGATGCGTCGCCGCGCGCGGCTTGCGGATCCGGCCCGGATCTCGGCCGTGACCCCGCGTTTGTCAAACGTCCAAGAACGCCTGCATTCGCCCCGCTGCTGAGGGCTCCACGAACTTCAGAGATGGTAGAGCTTCGTTGTGAGCGTTGCGAGCGCGATGCTCAGCGGGGCGCTCGCATGCTTGCGCCTCGTATAATTTGTCTTTCCGTGGACTCTCCGCACTTCGAACGCGAATCCTGCGCGAAGTTCTGGGTCCATGATGTTAACGCTGAACAGGCAGCGGCGGAGTGCCTTTTCTGGCGCCGGATCCGAACGATTGCGCACGAAAGCGCCGTGGCTGGAGTACCTGCGCGAGGTGGCGCGCTCGTGCCAGCGCGGATGCCGCGCTGGTAGGCGTCGGCCGAGAGCGAGGCCTGGCTGCCGCGCGACGCCTGTGCAGAATGGCGGGCGCGAGCGGGGGCGGGGGGGCCTGGGGCCTGAATGCGGCCTTGCGAAACAGAGAACGTTGACGCCGCGCGCCCTGTCTCGTTGGACTGCTGCAACGGGAGTTCCTCCTCGCGAACTTGGGGCCAGCGCGGCGGCGGCGTCGTGGGAAGCGTGCCGGAGAGGCGGGTCGTGGCACGGCTCGACCCGCGGTCGACGCGAGCGCCGCTTCCTCTGGCGACGCCACTTCCTCCGTGAATGCCGAAGAAGACGAGGGCGTGGAACGCGAGCGGCGCGGCAGCGGCGGACCCGGGGGCTGCGCCGGCCTACTCCGAGGCATGGTGGCGCGCGCGTGGGGCGGCGG